CATTTGTAGTTTTTAGAATGACATATGTTGACTGCAACCAAAACTTGCATTTATATAGCGTCCTTCACAGGGATAGCATCATGAAGCGCTTATCAGTGGAGTGGCTTAATGCCCAGCAGGAAAGTGGGGTGTTCAGCTTTTCTCTTCCCTCCATAAGCGGCAGATTATTCAGAATACTGTGGCTCGTGTCTTCTCCCACACTAAGCTCCATGAGCTGATCGCCCCCATCCTCACCCTGCTTCTCTGGCTCCCCATCCCCCAGAGGACTGAGTTCAAGATCCCCATCCTCACTTTTAAAGTGCTCCAAGGTCTTTCTCCTCAGCTACCTGTGACCTACTAAACTTTACCAACCAGTCTGTTCCCTCTACTCAGTAGTCACTGGCATGCACCATGGCCCCCGCCCTGCCTGCTCCACCATCGGCAGTCAGGTCTTCAATCTTTCCTCCCCCACCCATGAAACTCCATTCTGGAGCCCCTCCACGTCATCCCCTCCCTTATCTCCTTCAAGGCTCATCTCGAGATCTTCCTCTTCGACCATGCCTTTAGTCATGGTGCTGGACAGGACACGAGCTGCTGAGTTCTGGATGATCTGCAGCTTGTTGAGGGAAGAGTAGGGAAGGCCGACAAGCAGGGAGTTGGCATAGTTGAGCCAAGGTGTAATGAAGGCATGTATAAGGGTTTCAGCGGCCTGAGGGGTGAGGCAGTGGCAGAGTCAGGCAATGTTGCGGAGGTGGGAGAAGGCAGAGAGGGTTATGGCATGGATATGGGGGAGAAATGACAGTTGAGGGTTGAACAAGACACCTAGGTTCCTGACCGTGGATGCTGATGCCACCAATACTTGCGTGGCTGAAATCATGGCCGGCAATTATGGAGCGGGGAGGATGAGGGAAATGCAGCAGAGCCGTGAGAGCTTCGCCCAAGTGAAGGCAGCAGGGAGAGTGGGAAGTGAGCAGATTGGAGATAGTGAGTTGTTGGGGTGTGAACAGATTTATAAGTGAGAGTGAAGATCCTGAAATTGATCTGTCCTGAAACAGGGAGCCAGTGGAGACTGGCAAGAACTGGGGTGATGGATCGGTCACCCAATTTGCATTTCGTCTCCCCAATGTAGAGGAGACCACACCAGAGCAGCAAATGCAGTAAACTACATTGGTGGTAGTACACGCAAATCACTTCTCACTTGAAAACTGTGTTTGGGGCCCTGGACCTGTTTGGGGTATGGGAAAAGGTGAAAGGGCAGGTATTACATCTCCTGCGCTGGTATGGGAAGATGCCAGGGCGAGGAGAGCAACTATTGGTGGTGATGGAGGAATGAACCAGGGAGTCATGGAGGGAATGGTCCATTAGTGGTTGGATCATATGGAGGTGCCAGAAATGGCAGAGAATTATTTGTTAGAAAAATAGCCATATTGCGAGGTATTGGAGGCCAGTCATCCCCAGTGGAACTGTTCCCCAGCATTGTTTTAGGAAGAAGAAAACAAGTTTGGGGTCTTGGGGGGGTGGGCAGGGAAAGTAGTCTCTTACAAACATCCACATTTACCCAGATAATAATCCTTGCCTTTGATATAGCTCCTTATTAAATCTTTGAGACGGTTCAAAGTGCTTCACAGAATATACTGTAAAGTGAATTGACTGTATATTTTGTGGGCAAAACAAGGCTGCCAATTGCACACAGCAGTGTCCCACAAACAGTCATGGATTGAGTGACCAATTATTTTAAAATTTATTTTGAAGGAATTATTACACCAAATCCATTTTTTCACTTCTATCCTTGATTCCAGGTCCATTGATTGACTGCAAAAAAAGTCTCACATGTATGTGGTTATCCTGTGAGATACAGTACCTTTAAAGCAGTTTTACTAGTAGATATTACTATGCCACTCATCAAGTGTCAGAGAGTAGCAATCATGCAGCTCAAGAACAAAATTAAGCACTTTGTAGTTGAGCAAGTTCTCTCTGCTGCTCCAGGTCCTAATTGATTTTCAATCTAAAAAGTCAGCAAAATGTAATGTCACTGCAGAAAATGTGTACTTGGTCAAAATATATTTCACCGGTTCGGCAGAGCAAGAAAAATATGGCTTTATAGCTCTTTGTTCGGCAGTTAAGACAAAGACATCGATCTTCTGTGTGTCCAGCAATAACACTTTTCTCAGTGTGATATGTGCGGGTCCCAGTAGATATTAATCTGTCACTTTGATCAGGGCCTTGTCCGAAATGTGTGGAGTATAATTAATGAATAAGTTTGTTTCACTTCAGTGTGTAAGACATCTAAGCTAACCTACCTTGCCAGATTTTAAAGTTAAATTAAAAAAAAACACTGCAGCTTTCCAGTCAGTCTATGTTCCAGGCTATGAATAAAAATGAATTGCTGGATTGGTTAAGGTAATTATATAGGCATGTCAACTTAAAGGGTAGCATTACTCTGCAGTGTTTAAATATTTCCCATAACTTAAAGGCGGCATACTGTAACATTATAAATAGGAGCATGAATAGCATGAATAAATAGGAGAGATGTAATACTACTTCTCGCACTCATCCACATTTAGGTACATACTGCACCATTTTTTGTACCAATTATTATTTATATGTTCCTTGTTTCTAATCTAAATTTCTCCACTCCTTTTGCTACCAAGGTTAATAGATATTTTCACAACTCACTTACAATCTCCACTACTGATAATCAAAATATTGCAATAAAGGATAAGAATAAAAATGTTAAATATGAAGTAAATTGAACAAAGCCATCTAATGTAGGCAACAAACTAGATGTTACAGATTCAAAACTAGTAAGAGGCTGCATTTCTTCAATATATTCAGACATAAAATCCAAATGCCTAGACTGTAAATAATTCTGAATGACTTCACCTTACATTCATGTTTATTGCATCGTGTTAAGGACTCTTGCTTATCCAGAACTTGCTGGGAAATAAAATACATTCACAGGGGAAACAGGAAAGGAGAAGCATTTTCTAGCTGCTATGGCCAAGGCAAACACTTAAATACAATAAATACATAAATAATGATAATTTCAATTGAATAAAGTCTATTAGAAATAGCTATTAGATGGAAATTCACATACAACACAATATGAAATCTAGCATTCTTCCTGATTAAAATTAAATACTCATTCAGCGATAACCTAGTCACTGCAATTGTAGAAGCACAACTTTCTTGTAGATTTTGCAACAGATTTTACTATCAAATCAAAATGAAACTTCAATTATTCGTGAAATTTAAGTTTTATGAAGTTCCATACCTGCATTAATTATATCACTTCAAATTGGTTCACATAAGAGCTTTGTGATCAGACATGAACATTAATCCTTGCCTTTGATATAGCGCTTTTCACGTTGGGAGGACGTCCCAAAGCGCTTCACAGAACACACTGTAAAGTGAATTGACTGCATATTTGTGGGCGAACGCGGCTGCCAATACGCACAGCAATGTCCCACAAACAGTCGTAGATTGAAAATGACCAATTTATTATTGTTTTTGGTTTTGGAGGGATTATTATTAGGCTCTGTGTGGAGTAAGGAAACTTGCCCAAGGTTTCGCCCTGACCTGGAATTGAACTCAGGTCTCTCACTTGCAAAGCAAGTGCTCTAACCACTGAGCTAGAGGACTCCGATGTCCTCTTCAACTACACTGACGGTTATCGTCCCTATATAGCGCCTTAACATGTCTTCGAGATTTTGCAAAGCGCTTCACAGATTATATTGTAAAGTGAATTGACTATATTTTATGGGCGAAACGCGCACAGCAGTATCCCACAAATGGTCGTGGATTGAGTGACCAAATCATTATTAGTATTTTAAAAATTTGGGGGAAGGGATTAAAACCCCCAGAAAAGTAATACACCAATCGATGAACAACTGGGTTCCTACTTATTCCTGGGTAAACAAAAGTGTGTGGAGTAAGGAAACTTGCCCAATGTTTCGCTTTTCTCAGGAATCAAACCCAGGTCCTCTTGCTTATGAAACAAGTGCTCTAACCACTAAGCTATAGGTCTCCACATTTTCTCCAAAATACATTGTAAGATACATTTAAAAATATCCAAGTTTTTATTTTGTGGACCTTATAAATGGAGCCATGAAATCTAACTATGTATATTCCTGATAATCAAGGGGAAACTTTATTTCCTCCTAACAACTTCCAGCCCAAAATTGATCCATTAGACTAGAAACCTCCAAGTCCACCTTGCCTTGGCCTGAAAGACTATTTTGTCTTAAAATGTAAGATTACAGCCTTTTTAAATTAATTTATAATTTGGAAGCTGGTTTTCCAGAGCTGTTAGAAACAACCAACCTCCAAATTAATAGTGAATTTCAGAATTTCCCACAATTTCGCATTCTTAATTTTTAAGATAAAATGGTCTTTTAGGTGAGGGCTAGGTGACATTTGGGGTTTCACAAAAATAATTTACACAAATACACTAAATAAACTGGAAACCTGGTAACTTTAAACAGTTAAATAAAGGTACTTAGCACCCCGATTGGAAAGGAGTCTGGTGCATTTTGGTTGGCCATAAGGCCTTAAGGACCTGTCATCTAAAATTAAATTATTTGGTTCTGAAACCAACTTATAGCTCCTGCTTTAATTCAAATATAATTTTAACTAAAATGCAAGATACAATAGGGCAAATTTTAAATTATGCTTTGTCACGATTAAAGTAAAATTTGCATAAACAACTCAATCTGTCTAAATCGTATAATCACCCAAGTCGTACATCTGCCCAAATCCCATTCAAGAGTTTATATTCCATGCAAGTTTGACATAATTCATATTTTGCATAAGTTATATTAAATGTATGGTCCCAACGGATACAACTTATGTGAGGTTTACTGCTTTCCCATTCAGGTATAAGCTCCTACTCATAACAAGAAGCTCCATTAGATAGATGTCCATAAATACAAAAATATATACAAAAATATGGAACAAAATTTAGTGTACTTGAAAGTCTAAATCTTCATAAAGAGGAACTTACCTAATTAAAGTGTACTTACCCTATTTACCTCTGAGTTGACCAAAAGGACTTTTATGAACTTCTTCATGAGCTCCTCCACCCTCTTCATGCAATGCGCAAGAACCATCTTTGGCAATGTAGCATCATCCATCAGACAGACCAAAGTCTGTGTTACTTCCATCAGCAAAGAAGCTGACAGTGGATATCTAGGCTTCTGACAAAAAGCAAGCAAACTCTCAGCAACCTGTGAGACAGAATCTGTCACTACCGAGCAATCACTGCCTGGAAGCAATGATGCTGCTGTCAGAGTTCTATCGGCTGTTAGCTTTTTAATTCTTATTAAGCTCTGTAGAAACTGTGTGTGAAGACGGAGCATTTTTTCTTTCTCTTGTGATTCTTCCTTTTTGGCAGGGTTTGATCCAGCAGATATCAATGTGGCATCGGGTGATACCATAGCCTCTTTACCAGTTAACAGATAAGCATTAAGATGTCCCAGGCCATGATTAACTAAGAGGTCTTGAGTATCAGCAGATCCTTGTCCATTAGTTAGATCACAACCAGAATCTTCTAGATGACAAAAATCATTCTTGGAGATCAGAGAATCTTGACATGGAGTTTCCAAACTGGAAACAGATTTATCTCCTGAAATATAATACAGCAAACACTTAAATTTAAATGGATGCAAACTACTCTCAAAGGGCAACTGATATTATTAGTCAAACAACTACAGTAAGTGTTATTTGGAACTGGGGTCCAGCTGCACCCTTTCCTTTCCCTTATCAATGAAATTATTCTATTGCGGTCTACAAATTGCAATCCCGTACCCCGGGCATTAAGGGCGTTATATAAATGCAAATTGTTGTTGCAATAATTGGGTATCTAGATCCACTTAGTGAATAGACAAACAATATAAGAAACACAGGTCATTTCATGCCACGCACAATACACATTATTGAATATATAGAACAGCAGACTCACCAGTGAGTCTGCTCAAAGATTAAACCTTTACTTTTTAATCTTCACTTAACCTGGTGGCAACATTACCATAGAGCTGATTTTAAAAAAGTAAAGTGAATCTTCTCCAACGAAGTTCTGCGATTTTATCCTTCTTACAAGATTACGTGTGAAGAATCACCGCTAAGACAAGGTACTAGAGAGTAATAAGTTCTTTTACTGCACAGATTTACTGAAATAGTGACTGTGGATTTGTAGGAAAATGTAGCAGCACATAACAATGTCTCACAAAATGGCCTGACGTGAATGAATCCCAAGGGCTCTGGGATGTTACCCTGTGCGAGGGCCGCTATATATAAATGCAAGTTGTTGTTGTTGACTGGTTTTATAATAATACTTGAATTTGATATAGTGTCTTATCACGTCATTGAGACAACTCAAAGCGCGTCAGAATATACAACAACAACAAAATTGCATTTATAGGGCGCCTTTCACATCAGGAGGACGTCCCAAACCGCTGAACAGTCAGGTGTCGGGGCCCGAACATGGGGGAAGGGTAGTGTAGGGGTGAGGGAAGGCAGAGAGGTGGGAAGGAGACCAAAGGCACGGTCGAAGAGAAGGGTCTTGAGACCGACCTTGAAGGAGGCAAGGGAGGAAGCGAGGCGAAGGGACCATGGGATGCAGTTCCAGAGTGTGGGGGCAGAGGGGCTGAAAACCCGGCCACCAATGGTAAGGCGGGTCGGGCAGGAGACATGGAGCAGCTCGGAGCCCGCTGAACGGAGAGAGTTGGTAGAGAGTCAGCAGGTCAGAGAGATGGGAGGGGACAAGGCCATGGATGGCCTTAAAGGTGAGGACGAGGATCTTGAACTCGATCCTCTAGGGGATGGGGAGCCAGTGGAGTCGGGCGAGGGTGGGAGTGATGGGGTCTCAGAGCCTGGTGCTATATATTGTAAAACGGATTGATTGTGTATTTTGTGGGCAAAACGCGGCAGTCAATTGTGTACAGCAATGTCCCACAAACATTCGTGGATTAAGTGACCAAAGTTGTTTTTCAAGGGATTACTACCCCCAGAAAGCGATTTCCCAATCAACTAACAACCGGGTTCCTGCTTACTGCGAAGTAAACAGAGGCGTATGGAGTAATGAAACTGGCCTAACATTTCACCCCGCCCGGGAGCAAAATAACACAACATATCTTAAAATCCTAGCAAAATTTTGTAGTCCTTTTTTGATGGCTTAAAGAAATCAAAGTTCTGTCCCTATATGTTTGCTATCCTATCTGTAACAAAGCGACCACTTAGTCCATCCATCTGTCTGGCAAATGGCCACATAATTTCCTCAGTCCCCAGAACTGCCTCAGATAATGCTCTGAATATATATTTTGAAATGGTCACAGTACATTTCAACCATCTGCCATTCACCCTGTAAAACATTTGTTGCCAATACATTTGAAAGCCATAATCTAATGGTAATATGAATTTATGCACTTGTGGTATTTAAATGTTGAATGTTGATGAAGCTGTAAATGAAGTGCAGCTGGCCATAAATAAATCACTAATTGAATTTTCAAAGAGGCAGAAAACAGCTCCAGAGAGATAAATCCATTTTATGTAAACGTATGAAAGTTATCCAACTGTCTTCTGCACTTACAAAAGCAGAAATTAAATTCAGATTGGAGAAAATTAAAGTATTCTGCCACTACAATATTTTATACAAGCATTTGTGGTTAGAACATGATGCTTAATAGAAAGCCATTAATATGCAATTTGCTCCACTTGTGAGTATGATCTACACAACACACTTGTGTTCATACATAGAATATTATTGTGTTATTCATAGATTATACATTGTTTACAGATGAAGCTGTTTGGCCCATAATGTTCCTAACACAGTGCCTGTCCTTCTCTCCCCCCATTTGCTCGTCATCTCCACAGTACAAGTCCTTCCCTCCATCCCCTACAGTGTCAGTTTATTCTCTTTCATTTGTCAGTTGTTGTACACAGGCATACACAGATAGCCTTTCTCTGTACACCCCCGCGCATACACTCACTGTCTTGCTATCTATAAAACTCTGTATCTGTATCAGAACTTCATGAGTGCACAAACTGAAAGAACCCCACTGCTGGCTAACTTGTGGGCTAAACATACATACTTGTTCAATTGAAGATTCTCAAACGAAATTTAAGTGCAAAGCCTTCCCATTTGTGATTTACATCACCTGAAACCCTGGAATTTTATTGGAATGACATAACACATTCCAATAATGATCAATTGACAAAGGCCTAACTGTCCTGGAATTCTTTTAATTGGTTATCAATTACATAAATAATCACACTAGTAGTTGGGTAACCCAACTGGCAAACAAGTCTAGTCCTCTCAACTATATTTTTGTACAATAGAAATAAACATTTTCACTATCCAATGATAAAAAAGGCTCCTGCCTTCATTTTACACACTTCAGAGCACGCATGTTTCAGTTAAAAAGAGGGCACAGGCTAAAAGAAATGCAAGCCTCAACTGAACTACAAATATTCTGCTACATTTTTTAAGATTAAGGTCTTTGACTTTCACTGCTCGTTTCAGCTCTTGTGTGCGCTTCTGGTTTGTGGCATTTCTGCTTCTCTTTGAATGGTTTACAGCTTATATAAGTTTCTCTGTTAACACCATATGTGAGACAACTTGGGATTCAAGCATTGCTATCATTTTTTTCTGTATATATTTAAAGGGCCATAGAATGTGTACTTTAGAAAAGCTGCAAAGCAAATATGAGCAAAGATTAAAACAGCCCAAACTTACAACACAAATCTCTTATTAAAAGAGTACACATTCACACTGAAATGGAGACTAGCCTGGCCAGCATCATTACAATAGAAGAAAATGAATACATAAGTATTACATTATAGACACTTGACATGCTTACCAATACCACTGGGTAACCCAGGCATGGAGCGCATTCGGCTCAGCAACAATTCCTGGCGGAGGTGTAACACTTCAGCTTTCCAAGCCTCTGCTTTTCGTTTCCAATTCACCTCCTTGTGACACAAGTTTCTGGCCAAGTGCTCTGCATGCTCTCTGCTGCTCTTCCCTGGAGGTCTTCTGCCAATTACAGCTAGGGCCAGGGCTAATTTTGATATTTTCAGGTACCATGTCAGTACATCCCAGTTCGGCTGTCCTCCTGACATTACTACAGAATAAAAATATTTAAGGTCACAGTAAACAAGAGAGCAGAAACACATGTAATCTACCATGTTATCCATTCTCCCACATATAAATATGGATTATAAACTCAGCTACAGTATAATGCTTTACCAAATATCAGCAATGATATTAATAGGATGTTTATTAATGTTATTGCGGATTCTACTGCTCATGAATGATGTCAACAGACATTGCTTACTTTTATAACAATGCAATGTTACCATGAAAGGTTTTTGTTGCTACAGCGTTGTTCTCGGTTTTGTGGAATATCAGCATGTTTCAAACTCCTTTAATTTAAATAGCAAAATAAGGAACAGTTTACATGCGAGTGCATCATGAAAATCCAAGGCAGTGTGTCTCTAAGCACTAAGAACTGACACCCAAAATGGAAACAAAGTAGGTGGGCTATATATTTGGCATATTTTAGTCTCAAAGACTTACAATATTCATCTTCCTGCTTTTAAAATTGCCGGCATGTTGTTATGATGAATGGATAGTTAGCAATTTTGAAAAACAAAATGGAAAGTATACCGTTTACTTTCTTCCTCCTTTAAGAATGGACCTGTTCAAAGTTTAACTGTTGTGTAGTTAAACAATCAATAATACAATCAAACAAGTTGTCCTCACTGGCTCCACTGGAACCAATCCCTAAAGAAATACAATGCACTAATAATCATTGTTCTTTCCTCTCTTTATTTTAGTTTATTTTTACCAGATTAATTTGTAACCCGTGTATAAGCACAATAATTAATATATGCTCTTGACAAATGATAAATATCTCAATTAAGGATTTGACCAAAATTCAATAATTTTCTTGTTTAAATAACACATCAACCAGTTTACTGGTTATGAATATCTGAGAATCAGCATCGTTGTGTGTCTGGCTCCAAATACATTAACCTCCTTAATATCTTGCTCAGAAGTTGCTATTTTACATGAACGGTGCCACTTAAATCCAGACAATTTGTTTTCAATTTATCACGTTACTTCACCAGTTTTCAATTCAACTAGTAAACTGGAGATTAATCTTGTTTAAAAGTCTCAAACATCTGAAACTCCAAGTAACTTACATCCAGTGGTTCAGTACCCAGGTTTGTGAGATGCAAAAGCCATTACTTCTAAGTTTGTACTAACAATGCTTTATATGCTCTGTGAAGCTCCAATGTATTTAGAACATTCAGAGGACTTTTCTGCTCCTCTTACTGAATTATTTGTATTTTGGGGGGTCAGCTGGGTGTCTGACATACATGAAAACCCATCCCCACATTTAAGAATATCCAAACCAGACTGAGTTCCATGAATGCATGCTACCAAGGCATGGAAATTTTCCGTCTAAAATGGAGTGCATATTAGAGGAGTACTCAACTTATGAATATTCTCCCTCCCTTGGGTGATGTATTTTGATTATCTTATTTCAGAAAGTATCAGGCATAGATTTGTGAGAGCCAAGGCTTCGGGACTCCAGAGTGTGGGTTGGGATCCTGCTGCAATTTCACCACTTTTAACCACTTATACTGCCATTGAGCACTGCCATGCAAACTTTCATCGCTTGTCCAGCTAGGACCCATGGGATTTTTCTTTGCAGTGTTAGCAGGAGTCTAATAAGAAGAATGCCTGCCCTGTACTTGGCTCAGTGTGTATCATCTTGGCTAGTTGTTTAGAAGGTTGTAGGTTGAAGCTTCATGTTGGGACTTTGAGCTCACGGCTGATTTTCGTGTATAGTGCTGGGAGTGTTGCAATGTCCGAGGTGAAGTCCTTCGATGAAAAGCTAAACCAAGGACCTGTTCAGATGACAGTAATAGATCCCAAGACACTACTCAACAAGAGAAGGAAGTTCCTTTTGGTTTCCTGACTAACATTCCTCCAAACAAATTGGTTATATTCACTCATGGATCTATGCTGTGCGCAAATTGGCTGCTGTGTTTGCCCACAAAGTCACTGCACTACATAAGAATTATCTGTGAACCAATTTAAAATGTTTTGACATTATAGTTGCTATGCCTAGTGCAAGGATTATCCTGACCAATGATCCATATACAGATTTCTCAAATTTTATTTGTACTATAATGTGACATTTCATAAAATTAATTTCACTTTGAACTAACCTTCTAAGCAATTTCACTTAAAAACTATGGGAATCTCATTCAAGTTTCATTTTAACTATAATTTAGGTTCAGTATGTGAACATTCCCAATGAGAAAACCAAGTGAAAATTGAATAATCAAAATCTTAAAGGAGCACAGATAAACTGAACCTTTAATGTGACGTCCTCCTGACGTGAAAGGCGCTTTATAAATGGAATCTTGTTGTTGTTGTTGTTGTTAATGTGATCAAAAAAATCAAGCAAGACAACATGGACAAATGCTCTAATGAGAGAAGATGAACAGATTAATGATTTGGCACAGAGAGTGATGAACATATCGAAGAAACTACTGAGGAAGGCAATGGAGGCAGACTGTCAGCAAATTTACGAGGGAATTAGAAAGCTTTTAGCGAAAAATTGTGAAAGCTTTTTAAAAAATGCAATTCAAGGTTATATGAGTTGCTATTGTACAACATTTTATTTGTTTTTTAAAACTTGTTACTAGCTAAAAGGACTGCAATGTCTATATAATTCCAAATCCCTAAATTTTAGCACTGTATATAATGTTTTTACTACATACAAATTTCTGAATATTTTCAAGAAAAAAGCAACAAATTGTCCTATATAATTAAAATGGGGTATAGGAGTTTGTAGGAAACTGATCTTGTTAAAAATATTTCTGTGCTCCAACTCAAGTAAACGCAAACGAAGATACTACTGTGATATGATAAATAATTCAACATGAAACAATTCAGCCTCACAAATGAAGTCATTCATCACGTCACTTTCTGCCTGACAGATTCATTGCAAATACACTTCCCAGAAAAATACCCATAGCATTTCAAAGGAAAACCTTCTGATCCATTCTCCAATACAAGCCCATCATTTCATTGATTTTATCACTCATCCTATTTTCTTATTAAAAGCTGAATCCTAACCAAGTATTACAGATGTCTTGTTTGATAATACAACTTACATTCTACAACGGTTCAAAGAAAACAGGATATATATACTGCAACAACTAGCATTTATATAGCATGCTCCATGTAGGATACTGTTTTGGAGCACTTCACAAAGAAGGATTATTATTATTATTATGGAGATGGTCTCTGAGCAAGGGAGATCGGCGAAATGTTGCTCAGCATAGGAGTTTGTACAATATTAACGATGCTGAGTTTTGACTGAGTGCAGCATTTTGATAGCTCATGGAAATAGTCCATCCTAATATTTACCTGCCAAGTATCAAATTTGTGTAGAAATTAGAGAATATAAAGTAATAATCCTTGCATTTAATGAAGTACTATTTCAATTGAAACGTCTCAAACTACCTCCCAGAATGTACTCTAATGTAAAGGTGCAGACAAACACTGCAGGCAATTTGCACACAGCAATGTCCCACAAATAGCCATGAAATGAATTATCTGAGGGATTGTTGGGCATGATACCGGGAGAAACTCTCTTCCAACTAACACCTTTTCTAAGACTAATTTAATTTCAGAACTAAGAACATTCAGAGAGAATTGCAACACGTTGAAGTAGTTTTGAACCTGGGTCAGTCCATTAAACTAAAGGATTGTGCATTTGGGATAATACATTGTCAAAAATGAACTTCTGTAAGATGATTCTATAATGGAGAGCTTATGTAAACAGCTCCAGATTTTTTTTAAATGGTAGTTCCATTGGTTTTCTGATAAGGTTTTATATGTCTTTTTAGATTGGCCCGTCAAATGGCAAGGCATCAGAAGAGAAAGCAAATGGGAAACTAGTGATCATGTTTTTTATTCTGAATGAGATATAGTATGACTGTTTCATATGATACCTTTAAATGAAATAATTTTCTAGCCGTCCTTTTTGTTTTTCAGTAACTAAAGAAATCAAAATAAATTTTATTTAAATATATATTCATCTAAATTGAACATTTACATAAGCAGGTGAAACTTGCTCATCACATCCTCCACAAACCTTCGCATTCTACGCTGATTTATTTAAAATAATCACAAGAATTTATAACAATCTTATTATAATCATTACATTTGATATTACGCCTTTTACTTTGGGAGGACATCTCAAAGTGCTTCAGAGTTTACTGCAAAGTGCAGTGCATTTGTATGCAAACATGGCAGCCAATTTGCATATAACAATGTCCCACAAACGGTCATAAAGCAGTGACTAATTTTATTTGGCAGATTGTCAGCCTGGGCACCTGGAGAAAGTTCCTTCTATTTTCGAATAATACCCTGAATCTTTAATGTCCACTTGAACAGTCAGATGGGACTTCAGTTTAACATCTCATCTGAAAGACAGCATCGCCAACAATGCAGGGCTGTCCCAGCACTGCATTAGAGTGATAACCTAGGCTTGCGAGTTCAAAGTACAGACCTGGGGCTTGAAAACACAACCTTCTGACTCAGGGACAAGAGTGTTACCAGGTGAGCCAGGCTAATCTAACCTCACCAGGACATTTTCTTGCTATCTTGCTGGGCCATTTAGACATGTACCACGAGCAATACAGACAAAATTACAACCAAATAAGTTCTTAACCAGCTACTGAGAGCTCAACTAATCATTGCATTTGATGCATCACGTTAATGAAACATCTTAAAGCACTCCAATGTAGAGTGTCGGTGTGTCATCTGTGTCGGTGAACGAAGCAACAAAATTGCACACAGCAATGTCCCCCCACAAACAGCCACAAAATGAATGACCACTTTGCAGGATTGTTGGCCAGGACACTGGGAGAAATTCCCTTCTCTTTTCGAATGGTGCCATGGGATCTTAATATCCATCTGAACAGACAAACAGACACTCAGTTTAATGTCTCATCCATAAGATGGTATCTCTGACAATGCAACACTCCCCAACCACTACATCGTCACTCTACACTATGAGCTCAAACTCAAGATGTGGGCCTTGAACGCCTAACCTTCTGACTCAGCGGCTACTAACTGAACTAGACACCTGACACCTTTTCTAGCATCCGTTCAAGAGATCCATTAGTAATTTAGTAATGATAATAATAATCGTTGCATTTAAAAATAACAAAGAGATTGATGAAAGCAGTTGATGTAGTGTATATGGCGTTTGATAATCTCCAGCCTGGGTCCAAATTCTTGACTATCCAGGGCCTTGGGACATCCTCCCGACATGAAAGGTGTTTTACAAATGTGATTTATTGTAGAAACAGCAAACTCAGCCCCCAGAGCAGAGGGAGTAAGGCTTGGCTTGGTTTAGCTTGGCTCCCCACATCCAAAGACTCTTCCACCCACAATCCAGAGCCTCCTCACGCCTCCCTTCCAGAGCCTCCTCCCCCCCATCTAGAGCCTACTCCTCCCCCCCCACCCCCCATCCAGAGCATCCTTCACCCTCCCATCCAGAGGCTCCTAACCCCCCATCCAGAGCCTCCTTCAACCATCCATCCAGAGCCTCCTCCAAAGCCACTTTCAGCCCCCATCCAGAGCCTTCTCCCTCCATCCAGAGCCTCCTTCCCCCCATCTAGAGCCTCCTCCCTCCATCCAGAATGTCCTCCCCCCATCCAGAGCCTCCAACCCATCCAGAGCCTCCTCCCCTCCATCTAGAGCCTCCTCCCCTCCATCCAGAGCCTCCTCCCCTTCATCCAGAGCCTCCTCCCCTCCTAATAATAATAATCCTTGCATTTGATATAGCGCTTTTCATGTCGGGAAGACGTCCCAAAGCGCTTCACAGAACACACTGTAAAGTGAATTGACTGTATATTTGTGGGCGAACGCGGCAGCCAATTGCGCACAGCAATGTCCCACAAACAGTCGTAGATTGAAAATGACCAATTTATTATTGTTTTTGGTTTTGGAGGGATTATTATTAGGCTCTGTGTGGAGTAAGGAAACTTGCCCAAGGTTTCGCCCTCTGCCTGGAATTGAATTCAGGTCTCTCACTTGCAAAGCGAGTGCTCTAACCACTGAGCTACAGGTCTCCTCCCTCCCCATCCAGAGCCTCCTCTCCCTCATCCAGAGTCTCCGCCCCTCCATCCAGAGCCTCTTACCCCCATCCAGAGCCTCCTCCACCCCATCTAGTGCCACCTCCACCCATCCAGAGCCTTCTCCCCCTCATCCAGAGCCTCCTCCAGAGCCGCTTACACACCCCCAAACAGCCTTCTCAGAACCTCCGTCTAGAGCCTCCTCCCTCCATCCAGCACCTCCTTCAACCCTCCATCCTGAGCCTCCCCCGCCCCGCCCCCCTCATCCAGAGCATCATCCATCCCATCCAGTGCCTCCTTCAACCCTCCATCCTGAGCCTCCTATACCCATCCAGACCTCGGTCCCTCCATCCAGAGGCTCCTCCCTCCATCCAGACCGTCCTCCCCCCCCCTCCTCCTTCCCCCACCCCCCCTCCTCCCCCACCCCAGCCTCCTCCCCCCCTCCCCCCCCCCCAGCCTCCCCCCCCCCTCCTCCCCCCCCCCCCCAGCCTCCTCCCCCTCAGCCTCCTCCCCCTCATCCAGACCCTGGCCCGGACCCTCGCCCTGGCGGCGGCTCGGGCTCAGCTCCTCACACCGAGCGGCCGCTGACTGACTGACTGACACTCACTCTGTCGGGGCGCAGCGGCCTCTCGTCTCCCCGCCCCGTCTGAGGGCCCCGCCGGCTCCTCCATCACCTGCCACTCCCGAGCCCCGCCCCGCCCCCAGCCCCGCCCCGCCCCCAGCCCCGCCCCTAGCCCCGCCCCCAGCCCCGCCCAGCCCCAGCCCCGCCCCAGCCCCGCCCCAGCCCCCCCCAGCCCCGCCCCTAGCCCCGCCCCCAGCCCCGCCCCGCCCCAGCCCCGCCCCCAGCCCCGCCCCAGCCCGCCCCAGCCCCGCCCCTAGCCCCGCCCCCAGCCCCGCCCCGCCCCCAGCCCCCCCCAGCCCCGCCCCAGCCCCGCCCCCAGCCCCGCCCCGCCCCAGCCGCCCCAGCCCCCCCCAGCCCCGCCCCCAGCACAGCCCCGCACCGCCCCCAGCACCGCCCCGCCCCCAGCACCGCCCCGCCCCCAGCACAGCCCCCAGCACAGCCCCGCCCCCAGCACCGCCCCGCCCCCAGCACCGCCCGCCCCCAGCCCCGCCCCGCCCCCAGCACAGCCCCCAGCACAGCCCCGCCCCCAGCACCGCCCCGCCCCCCGCCCCCAGCACCGCCCCGCCCCCAGCACCGCCCCGCCCCCGCCCCCAGCACCGCCCCGCCCCCAGCACCGCCCCGCCCCCAGCACCGCCCCCCCCAGCACCGCCCCGCCCAAGCACAGCCCCCAGCACCGCCCCGCCCCCAGCACCGCCCCGCCCCCAGCACCGCCCCGCCCCCAGCACCGCCCCCAGCCCCGCCCCGCCCCCAGCCCCGCCCCCAGCACCGCCCCGCCCCCAACCCCGCCCCCAGCATCGCCCCGCCCCCAACCCCGCCCCCAGCATCGCCCCGCCCCCAACCCCGCCCCCAGCCCCGCCCCGCCCCCAGCCCCGCCCCCAGCACCGCCCCGCCCCCCCCCCCAGCACCGCCCCGCCCCCCGCCCCCCCAGCAACGCCCCGCCCCCCCCCCCCAGCACCGCCCCGCCCCCCCCCCCCAGCACCGCCCCGCCCCCCCCCCCAGCACCACACCGCCCCCCAGCACCGCCCCGCCCCCAGCCCCGCCCCCCGCCCCCCCAGGGCAACATTAACTCCCACACAACCACTGACTCCCAGATGACTCCTGACTGGAGGGCAGCCCTGTGTCTCCAGGGTAACTCCTGTCTGTGGGGTCACTCCTGGCTGTTGCTCCCGGGCTCCGCTGGAAGGAAACTCTGCTCCAGTGGGCAATGTAGCAATAATTGCAGTTATTGCCTAATCATTGATATGATTCTCAGTCCATCAGAAACATTCTGAGGAGTGCTACAAAATAAAAACATGGATATTTTTCATCTGTATTGGGATCTCTGTAGCTCAGTGGTCAGAGCACTCGCCTCGCAAGCAAGAGGACCTGGGTTTAATAATAATAATAATAATAATCCTTGCATTTGATATAGCGCTTTTCACGTCGGGAGGACGTCCCAAAGCGCTTCACAGAACACACTGTAAAGTGAATTGACTGTATATTTGTGGGCGAACGCGGCAGCCAATTGCGCACAGCAATGTCCCACAAACAGTCGTGGATTGAAAATGACCAATTTATTATTGTTTTTGGTTTTGGAGGGATTATTATTAGGCTCTGTGTGGAGTAAGGAAACTTGCCCAAGGTTTCGCCCTCTGCCTGGAATTGAACTCAGGTCTCTCACTTGCAAAGCGAGTGCTCTAACCACTGAGCTACAGGACTCCACAAATTCCCAGCAACGCGAAACGTTGGACAAGTTTCCTTGTTCCACATGACTATTTATCTAGCAGTAAGTAGGAATCTGGTTGTTAATTGATTGGTGGTCGCTTTCCGGTGATAATAATTCCTCCCCCAAAAATCCACAACTGTTTGTGGGGCACTGCTGTGAGCAATTGGCTCCCATGTTTCATCCACAAACTGGAGTCCTGTAGCTCAGTGGTTAGAGCACTCGCTTTGCAAGTGAGAGACCTGAGTTCAATCCCCGGCAGGTCAGGGCGAAACCTTGGGCAAGTTTCCTTACTCCACACAGAGCCTAATAATAATCCCTCCAAAACCCAAAACAATAATAAATTGATCATTTTCAATCTACAACTGTTTGTGGGACATTGCTGTGCGCAATTGGCTGCCGCGTTCGCCCACAAATATACAGTCAATTCACTTTACAGTATATTCTGTGAAGTGCTTTGGGACGTCCAGAAGACGTGAAAAGCGCTATATCAAATGCAAGGATTATTATTATTATACAGTCAATCCATTTTACAGTATATTCTGTGAAGCAATTTGGGATATCTCAACGACATGATAAGGTCCTGTATCAAATGCAGGGATTATTATTATTCCTGAGAAATATGTAATGCCTCTGAAGAGAAGGACAGTCCAACTTTTGTTATGCCTATGATCAAGGCATCTGATTGTCTGTAGGAAATGTTGTCAGAACAGTGAAAGTGGAACATGTGTATTGAGTTAGAACGCTAAATGCTGGACATTTAGACTCAGGAAATAAAATTAAAGCAGAATTTCGATTGAATGCACATTCATCGATTATTAAATTAAACCACAATTTCCACTGTTAAGACTCTGAATAAAAGTATAGTTTAACAAGGTGATGACAGATGTGTTTCCAGTTCACTGTTCAGCAAACAAATTAAGTATATTTTGTTGCATCTCATGTAAATCAATGGTTTGTATGTTGCCATCACTGTCAGAATTTGATATTCACTTAGCAAAGGTAGACTGAATATTCTTTTGTTTGAAGATAAAGACAGTACTTCTTAGGCTTAGGTGCCTGATATCAGAAGAAACAGATGGTGGAAACATTTCATGGTCTAAGCACAAATTTTCTGAATCTTCAATATTTAATGCAGTCTCAGAATATCTAAATACGTTTGACAAACTGAAGTTACAAATAATAATCCTTGCATTTGATATAGTGTTTTTAATTTCAGAACAACATCTTGAGGCGTTTCATAGGATTCACTGTAAATCGTATGATTTGATATAGTTCCTTATCACGTCTTCAAGACGTCTCAAAGCGCTTCACAGAATATACTGTAAAATGAATTGACTGTATATTTTGTGGGCAAAACAAGGCAGCCAATTGCGTACAGCAGTGACCCACAAACAGTCGTGAATGGAGTGACCAAATTATTTTAATTTATTTTGAAGGAATTATTATCCCCGGAAAAATAATCCACCCATTTAGGTGAACATATAGTAGGACCGTAGCTTCAGATGAGAGGTCAGAGGCAATGAACAAAATCTGCTTTTAACTGTTAAATATTTTAATTTAAATTTAAAATGTGTTTAAGTTAATCGTTGCCATGTGAGGAATTCTTCTTATATGTTTCTATTGTCTTGTCTATATGATATTATTCAGGACTGGCCTTGGGACCTTCTTTGAGCAGTTTATCCTTCTTAATTGGGAAGTCTACTCCTTATCTTCCCAGGCCTGGCACATGATGTTTTGCAGACCTTTTTCCTTCCAGTTCTAACTGGTACCCAAGGTTACAATAACACTTAGGAATGTGCATCTGGAGAGAGGAGAGATAACGGGTATCGTGGTTCCAGCCTGTGCCACATTCCGTTAGTAAGAAACCTAATTTGGCGCCCATTTTGACCTATGTTAATACAATTAATTAAATATATATAAAAGAATGGATATAAAATCTTGTTCTATTCTAAATGATTATAGGGGAATCTCTCTATCCCAACAATAATAAGCAATCATTATAATGATGTAATTAGTGTACTGTCTTTAGCTTTATCATGTTGTCATTTCCCAAATGTTCTTGCATAAACAAAAACACTTAGAACTATTAGGGGAATGATGCTCATTAAAGCACTTTGGAAACAATAAGTACATTCACACCCAAGTGGAATTGCTGTAAATTCTCATGAGAAGTATTTTAACTTACATGACTGAGGAAATTATATTTAAGCATCTAAACAAACAAGAAATTACATACTTGCTCCACATGATACACTGAATAATAGCTGCATTGGCAGATATCAGAGCTCCAATAACAAAGAAGAAATAAGTGGTTCACTGAGCAGTGGATTTTCTAGATTGTCTAGGAGGCTGTGGACACAGATCAGCAACATTTAAATAATAATAATAATAATAATAATAATCCTTGCATTTGATATAGTGCCATATCATGTCATCGAGACATCTCAATAATAATAATAATAATAATCCTTGCATTTGATATAGTGCCATATCACGTCTTCGAGACGTCTCAATAATAATAATAATAATAATAATTCTTGCATTTGATATAGCGCTTTTCACGTCAGGAGGACGTCCCAAAGCGCTTCGCAGAACACACTGTAAAGTGAATTGACTATATTTGTGGGCGAACCCGGCAGCCAATTGCGCACAGCAATGCCCCACAAAGTCATAGATTGAAAATGACCAATTTATTATTGTTTTTGGTTTTGGAGGGATTATTATTAGGCTCTGTGTGGAGTAAGGAAACTTGCCCAAGGTTTCGCCCTCTGCCTGGAATTGAACTCAAGTCTCTCGCTTGCAAAGCGAGTGCTCTCACCACTGAGCTACAGGACTCCACGCACTTCGCAGGATATACTGCAAAGTGAATTGCATAAGCAGGTGAAAGTTGCTCATCATATCCTCTACAAACCTTCGTGAAACGTATCAAAAGGAAGTTCCAGGGGGACGAGTCTGAGGCCCACCCAGTTACCTGTGGGATTCATTAATTAAAGACAATTTAAATTTAAATAGCACCTTTCATTGTCAGGAGGAGATACCAAAGGGCTTGATACTGCTGGCTAAGCACCTGATCTAGGGGTTGAGAGCAAAACAGGGTGAGGAAGGGAATGATGACCAACAGGATGGTTAAAAGAGGTGGGCTTCAAAAGGGGGAGGGAGGGAGCAAATCAATAGGGAATTCCAGAGAGAACAACAACAACAACAACAACAAGATTCCATTTATAAAGCGCCTTTCACGTCAGGAGGACGTCCCAAGGCGCTGCACAGTTGGGTCATGACCCGAGCAGGGGGGAAATGGTCAGGGTGAGGGGAGGGAAGGGAGGGAGCGAGGAGGGGGAAATGGTCAGGGTGA